CCTCTCGATAAAAGTCCATTTATGAGATTGTTGTAGTAAGAAATTCCTTCTTCATTTACTCCTCGATTAGCCTTTCCTCCTAATCAGTATATATACTTTATTGTATCATACTTATTTTGCAAGGGTTTCTATTTCAAAATAAAAACTATACTACTTACTTGGAATGATCCTAGACCATGCAATTGAGAATCGGTAAGAATCAACTCCCATTTCTTTCATTACATCTAAATCTGCCTGTAAAATTCATGTGGATGTGTGTAATCATTGTGTAAACAAGACAAAAAATAAAAATAAAAATTAATAACAAACCTTATAATGCAAGTAAGAGCCAGCAGCGATAACTCCACTTGCTTTATCTTTTCCTTTTTCTATTAGTCGTAATTATATCATAAAAACATATTTGTGTCACACATAATGCTAACATATATATAAACTAAACAGGTGAAAATGAGCATCATTAGTGTAATAGCAAGCAACCTGGATACCGATGAGTAAAACCATCCCAAATATTTAAACCTCTTCCCTGAGCACCTTCAATCTGTCAACCAAATGATAAATGAGTTAACCTTAATACATTGTCACAATACACATATACACACACATATAAATATATTCAACTAATTTCATGGAAATATGTGTCGGATTAAGTCACAAGATTAATAATATATATACATATTTACTAACATATATGTGGCGTTTATTTGTTTGTGTCAACGAGAACAAAAAGTGCCTGATAAGTAGAAGAAGCAACACCAAAGAGGAAACCTTTGTTGAAGCTATCTCTGTTGAAACTACCGATGTTATTACAACTAAATGGTGGATAATCTTCACATGTTATCTCAGATTTACACAAAAGTAGAGATGATACAACTATAAAGAGTAAGAATAGTAGCAATAAACTTTGACGACTCATGTTTTCTCTTTAGATTTGTAGTATATCTTGTTTTGTTTTGAAACTTTTTTATAGATAATATTTTCTCAATTTATCTAGTTTTTCGGATCTTTAAATATTTTGGGAGTGTTCTTTGAAAATGTCAAACTGTGAAAGAATTTTTCATTCACCATAAATAGTTTTAATAAAATTAACCAATTATAGTAGTAAAACATTTTTATATTATATGACCAAAAAAAAAACATTTTTATATTGTAAAAAACTTTAATAAAATATTACATGAATGTTTCAGTTAATTAACTAATGGAATGGTAGAGTTTTCACTATATTACCACCTGATTCCAAATCTGTGTTATGCATTTTGTTGACAAAAAAAAACAATAAGGGTAAAACTTACGAAGAATAACTAAGAAAAATGCTACCTAAGTACCTAGTGTTATTGGCCATAGAGTTCAAAACATCAATGGATAAATAATATAGACAAAAACATTTTTAAGGCGTCGAAACTCTTTAAAAGAAATAACAAATAGTAGTCATTTTTTAGAGTTTGACGTCATATTCACTAACTTTAAACAATTGGTTTGAAAAATAATTGCATCTTCTCGATGCTTCACCATACATGCTATACCCCAAATTAATGTTTCTAACTATTAGTAGAAGGAACAAAAACTCCTTAAGTTGACTCATGAGCCGGATCTCATCACTATCCATGCAAGGAAAACCAATCAACATTTGAAAACACCTAATATTTTTCATGAGTCGTCTATTTCGGTAAAATGTTATGTAATTGGCTACCTCAATCAAATAAGAAGAGACGTATCACTAATTCCTTGGTTTAAAAGCAACGAGAGGGGTAGCAGAAGCGTAAATTATAGATGATTGTGATTTTACGTTATCGAGCGATCTATGCGATTGTATATCGATTTAAACTTCTTTCCATGTAAACTTTATTAGAAAACATTAACGTT